TCCTCATCAGATTTATTTATACATGCACTTGCTGCATTTTTCTGATGGCTAAGAATCAAAAAATAAATTATGAGCTGATTTTCCAGGTTTGCCCGCAACGGTCCTGTGTTAGGCCCCGGTCAGACTTCACGCGACTTAATCGTCGCGATCCAATCGCCGACATTTCCATTCATTTTCATTTCACATTCAAAAATGTCGGGCTGGAAAAGTATCACAACCGAATGCAAGTTGATCGGCATGGAATGATGTTGTAACAGTTGTCCCGTCGCGACTCAGTCGCGACGATCAAATCGCGTGAAGTCTGCCCGGGGCCTTAATCGCAGATATGTAGTTATACAGCTTATTCACTCAAAACTACCGCCATAAATTTGCAGGTGTAGGTGTAGGTGCCCTCCAAATCGGTAGTTCTTGAGAACTATCGACTTGAAGGTTCAACTATAAAAAGACTTATGGGACAACCTAATATATGCGCGGTTAGTTGTACGAACTCCTCAAACGCAGTTCCTTTTTCGTTCAACGCTGGGGAGATTGGCACTAAAGTTTTCAAGCAAAGCATAGCCTCAAAAATTGAGGTGGTGCTGAACGCAGGACACCTACCGCACCTTGAAAAGGAAAGATTTTATGTTACTTTGGTACAAAATGCTTTTAGACGTGGTCGGAACCAAAAATATTTCTCTGAGACAAGCCTTTATTCAGCTCGTTTGTTTTGAAGTTTTGAGATACAACAAGCATCTTCGGTAGACGTTTCATTTACTTGAAAAATACTGATGTCATCGTCGCAGTTTTTGATGTACCCTTTGATTTGAATGGATTGGCGGCTGAAAGCGGGTACTCGTCACCTAATTATGGCTAGAAAATGATCACAGAGCACGTTCGCGAAGGAGAAGCAATCTGCTTCGCGAGTGCGAGCGATTGCCTTCCACCCGCCAATCTCGTTGAATCAGAGGGCACTCAGTCATTACAGTTGCCCTTTTGGGTATTGCTACTTGGATTCTGCTATTAGCAAGGTACTGTGGTGAGTTGAGCACATCGTATATAAAGGCCTACTGCATGACGAAGGCGCAGAAGCAGTTTCAGTTGAGCGAGCGCGAACGCAGCGTGCGCTTATCCTCACCGTTGTAAATCCTGCGCCTCATGCGCTCTGCGGCTAATAAAGCCACGTTCGTGCCCAAAGGTACTGCGCCTTCATCAGCAGCAGCCTATAAGTTTGTTATATATGTGCTAAAGATTTCGAAATCTTTACGAAGCCACTCCTAAATTTGAAACCGAAAAGAGAGAGTAGCCTTAGTAACTCTGCACATCTATTTATTAACCGTTACATCGTACCAGTCATAGAAACCATTTGTTTACCTTATCGAACGTTGAGGGCAGCAGGATCTATTTGTAAGTTCCGAAGCACAAAAGAGTGCTTAATGTACCAGTACATCGTACCAGTCATGCAATCGATCTGTGCGGATTCTGAAGCTCAAAAACGTGCTTACTCGATACAAGGCCGGGATGTTAGAAACTGCACCAATAACTTGAGGGTTTTTCAAGTGTTAGCTGAAACGTCTTTTATGTCCGTTGTATCTTTGCTTCCAAGGAAATTACAGAGACGTCTCAAAAAAAAAAGATAATCTCAGAGCCAACTACGTTTGAGAGCATTTTAAGCAAAGGATTAATGTCTCTCTTTTTAAACTGCAGTTATATGGTTATAAGCCTTCAAAAAGAAAAAAAAACAGCGGCGCACAATGTCTAAGCAAACATTGTTGTCTGCAGACGACACAAGAGAAGCTATGGTATAGTGGACTGGTATAGTACTATTAGTGTGATCGGAAAGAAATGGGACACTAAAGAATAAATGTAGTTTAAACAGAAAAATCAATTGGATGTCCAAGTTTTGGGAGATATTAGTACATATCAAAATCTTCTGAGCGAAGTCTATAGATAGACACTGCAGCATGGCGTCGTTTTTATAAGTGCTCAAAATATAGGCTCGCCACTTCAAGTACTTCCGAACTTGAAGGAGCAACGTCGCAGTAAAACAAGTAAGGCTTCCAAAAATACATGTGCTAGTTCCCATAAGCTAAAGCTTATGTACAGTCTGTCCCAATCGGAATCAGGCCAGCATTTGGCGAAAGTTTACATGCCCGCGGCGCTAAGGGTTTGCGCTGCATATGCGCACTACCGTAGAGAGCGAAGAGGGCAAAGAGAGAGCAGACAAGCCAGCCGCAGACGTGGCGCGAAACCCTCGCAAGACGGATTCCCACCGTACCAATTCTAATGATTGGGAGATACAGACTGTACAACTTGAGAACTTTTTATTATCTTTTTCCGTAGCTTTTATCTACATTAATTCTAAAAAGTGAATGGAGCGCACAACTGATAAGAGAGGGTTGACTGACTTGCCTGCCCATTCTACGCAGATATTTCTCCGCCTGAAACTGTAATTCGAACTAGTAGAAACGATTAGCTAAAGACTGCGCTCCATTATTAGAACTTCCTGGCTTTTGTTTCGTAAGATTTTTTCCAAGTTGCTATTGAAGCAGAGGTACATACCATACCTTATCCAAGAAAAAACGCCTAGCTTTGGATTGCAAATAAGCCCTTAAATTTCTATTGATGCCACTGAATTCTCATGTATATGGTTTATTATCATACGTGCTAACACCGGATTTTCCAAGAATGAAAAACTGAAGAGATCAAGATAAGGGAAGGAGCGAATCAAAGATGCTTTTTTGACCAATGAGGGTCTCTTGTAGGTTTGTTCATATAGCGGATAGAGGTAAGGACAGGACCGGTTCATGAACTTACAGGGTGTCCCAAATAAAGGCTGCTGCATGACGAAGGCGCAGAAGCGGTATCAGTTGAGCGGGCGCGAACGCGGCGCGCGCGCATCCTCACCGTTGTGATTCCTGCGCCTCATGCGCTCTACGGCTAATAAAGCCGCGCTCGCGCCCAAAGGTACTGCGCCTTCGTCATGCAGCAGCCTTTAGGTACACACGGTTTAATTGTTTATATCTCTCTCCCCAAAAAGTCTCTTATCTTCCTCCAGCTAACTTACAGCATGAATCGAGTACAGCAAATACGCAGTGAGATAGGCAGTTTGTAGAAAAAATTTCCAGAATATCTGGAGAACTATCTAACAAGTTTCTCAAGTTCTCTGATTTCTCTAAGAGACATTTTACAAGTTTCCAGATCTTTATAAATGGTGTAATCAAATGTTTGAGGAACATAGAGAAACACTGTCACTATATCTGCATAACTTAAAAAGCATATTGGTTGATTCTGAGTTTCATATCTAGAATCAACGTCTCCGATTGGCTTAGTATAGGAGTTTACCACAACTTCTCCGATTCTCGTTTGGTAATGTTTTGTCCCTAAAGGCACCGTCCACCCGGATTCTCGACTTGCATGTTTTGGTTGTTTCAGGTCCTTCTCATGTTCCTGATTCCGAATATGAACTCGAGACTACGCAAAACCTCGACAATCCCTGTTCCGGAAGACCCACAGGCCGGCTTTTCGTAACGGTGATTGGATGGGCGCGCACGGATGGGGAAGGCGGTGCCGTCTGGGGATCCTCGTGCTTCTTCGTTATTCCGGAGCAATTTTCTCGCTTACGAAACAACATTTGCGCCGCGACTTGGACATTGGTTTGATAGGGGGCCCTACTATCATACGCTGCCAAAAGCCCAAGACCCTCAACTTAGGGTGGACGGTGCCTTTAAGGACTCAAGACCCATCTCAAGGACCCTACCGTAATCCTACAGTAATGAAAAGCGTTCGGTGATTCCATACTGAAGATCTAAGTTGAAGCCAGGTCTACAAAATGATACCTATGGGTAGGCAAGACTTCTTGAGAAGGAAGATATTGACAATCAACAGTGTAAACATACTTTTACACCCTGTCGTTCTCGATTTCCTCTTTGAGCGCGACCAAGATGGTAGATATCTTTATTGATGGCTGAGTTTCGGCGCCCTCGCTCTCGTCAGAGTCTGGAAACTCTGTCGTTCATTCGAGCAAATGAAAAAGCGCTGTAATCTTGTATATTTCTCTTCCTCTGCGTTGTTTAAAGGCTTCGCTTTGTAGCGTATAAGAGAGCAAATCCAAATTTTACCTAGAAGTTGTATTCAAATGGACTTTCAAAGCTCCATGGGAATTATTTTTTTCAAAATCTTCAGGACAAGGACTGATGAACAATCTGTAAACCTTACGTATACAGTTTCGCAAAGTTACTGGTTTCAAATGCTTCGGACTACATCTACACCAAGATCTGGAACTTTCTCAGAATGGCGATTTTTTTCACGGAGTTGCAGAACACACAGTCAGAATTTTATTCTGGGAAGGTTGCTGAATGTGAACTCTATTTGTTTTTAATCTCCGGATAGGGCAACAGTAATTATTTTGAGGTAGTCTCGCGGAACACCTTCATAACATGCATTCTGTAAATCGTAATTGTTTTTACAGTTTTATGTAGGGGCCCTAACTAAGCCACTTTCCAGCCGGAAGTTCAAGTAGTGCTCTAATGGCTGAGATATTCCCCTCGAAACTGGCCCCCGCGATCGTACTTCTCATGGATTCATGGCGCAAAGCGTGGATCCTGGCGCGAAAGTGCCATGAATCCATGCGAATACGATCGCGGAGTCCAGCTTCGAGGAGAATATCTCAGCCGTTAGAGCGCTACCTCCGCTCCCGCTTGGGCAGTGCCTTAGTTAGGGCCCCAAAAGTAATTTTCACTTAAAATTCCCATGGGTCCAGATCTGCCTGGACGCTGCCTTCAACACAAGTAACAGCGCATTCTTCTGTCAATATGGGCACACAAAACCTGAAGCAAAAATTCCCTTAACGCCCTTTCTTGATAATTCTTTCTCTCATTGTCATTAACTTCTTCAATGAGCTAACAGAATTTTTTTCAAAGCTTGCCTTGCTATTGGAAACTTCGTTTGTAGAACCTGAGCATCCTTCGCTCAAGCTTTGATAAAATGAGTGGATAACTAGTCGTTCAAATGCATTTACTTGCTTGGTAAAACCATGGATTTCAGTAATTCATGTCAAAGTTTTCCAAGTAGCTTTCGGGATTTTATCATCTTCAAGCGTTCTTTGAGACGCCTTGCGATTATCAGCAACGTTTCCCTTATTTCCTGGCCTTGGGTTTAGTGCCATCCGTATGTTATCTAATTCGTCGTAATCGTCTGCGGCATCGTAGAAACCTCGTCTTCGAAAGGGGTCTCTAGGTTTTTTCAGGCGACCATATCGAGGAGAGAGTCTTTCTGCAAGAATTCATATTAATCCGTCGTTATGACTTCACAAGAAACAGACCATTGCCATCCAGGAAATACTCCTTGGGTTTCATAGTCTCCCCCGATATACAGTTGAATAAAATAGACATCAGCAATACTGCAACCATCCGCATCGTCGATATCGTTGAAATAGACCTGATCCTTTTGTTGCACCTTAATCATTCATAAGCGGTCAAAGCACATGAAATTATAGGAATGAAGTAGTGAATAACACTAGGCCTTTGTAACACAATCATTTTCAGATTTCTGCATATAATCTTCATCCATAAAGAGTGATTAGCTTTGCAAACGAATGGAACCTCCCTATAATGTGATTAAGTGGTGCTAGGCGGTTTTATTGATAACCTTTGACTTCCTTTTCGGAATCATTAAAGTGATAATCACGTCAAATTGGCTAACTCTTTACCCTTTCCCATCTCCCATCCGAGCAATTAGGAGAGTGCAACTTAGTGTCTTTTGTTTCTTAAAGCTTCTGTCATAAACAGCTTCAGACCGTTAATCTCCAAATCTTACATCATTTCAGCTCTTGGTAATCAATTGAACTGACAGCATCATAAAATTGATACGTAGGAAAGTCGTATGTAGCGAAAAAAGACGAGCTAGCGATTTTATAGCGATTTGTCAGTTTTGATAATGTGGCTAGAGCACCATGTGCCCACAAATCCGTTAAAAACCTTTGATTCAGAAATTTCTTATCGAAACGACTACTGTAAAGTATGGTGTCTAAAAGATCTTTTCTTCCTCTTTCATTCGGCCATTCATATGTATATCGTTAAAGAACAAACCATTTTGTCAATACACACTTCAGTCCTATACTCCCGAAGTGCTTCTATAATTACCAGGCTCACCTACAGTACCGTTAGTGTCGCTTTTCAGAACTGCGATTTAGACGCGATAACGCGTCGGAAATGCCCCTTTGCTATATCTTTTTTAGGTCACTCCTGAGCTTTGGTTAGAATATTTAGAACCAGCAATATCTGATGCATCTGACAGTATGTTTGAGAGCTGAAAAATGCGCAGTTTTCTTGTGCCGCAGGGCGATATAAACGCGAAGTTCCGTCGGAAGTGCCGCATTATAATAACTTGTTAAGAAACTATTTGATTTTCGTTCTAACATTTGGACTCATCACTGTTTTCTCTACCCAATGGTTATTCAAAGTCTGAAAAAGTCAAATTTTTCCTGCCATAGAGCGCAATAAACGCGTTTTTGCGTCGGAAGTGCCGCATCAATAATACTGACTTTATATATCCTAGAAAAATCATGTTTACACAGAGTGTCATCAGTGTCCCTCCTGATTTAATCCCCAACTCAGAATTTGCTTTGAAAAGTTTACTATCGTGATTGTACTAAATACTCTACAAACCCTATTTTACCTCTGTCATGCGAGCTCCTAGATGCCGCCTCAAAGTCTACAAAAACTTCAAAGAATTGATTAATGTAAGCGCTTTTCAAAATGGACTTTACTTTCGTAAACAACATGTTCGCTTACCTTCTTGTAAAAACTGCCACTTACCTAGCTCAAACTTTGCGAAAGAGCGGTGAAATCGATGAAGGCAATGAGTACTTACGCAGATAAGTATTCAGTTCATGATCAGCGAATGTGATATTTGCTCGGATCGGTTTAGGTGTGATTTTCTATCTAGCACCTTATATATACATGTGGTGCATCACCCATAATTGTTCCCAGATGACCATCAACGTGGCTGTCTTTCAATCAATTCAGCATGTCAACTTCGAATCACCTTAAACTCAGGGCTCGGCACAGATGGTCTGAGGTCAAACTAGACTTCGTTCTTGAGGTTAGAAGCAACAGAGATATCGTTTTCATAAGTTCCTGGGCGGAGCGCTGAGAAAAAAACGACAAACATGTCAGGTTTTACGACTTAAACGTGTTTCGCGAGCGCGCGAATTTCAAACGCAAGACTCAAACAAACAAATGACTTGTTTACAGCGCACAAACAACCACATGACACCGTAATTGAGCTATGTGGAAACAATATCATTTCAAACTATATTGTATAAATAGTTTTCAAAAACTTGTGTCCTAATACCCTTTTCCAGATTTGTTAGTTTCTAGACCAACATCAAACCAACTGGGTTGGCTCGGAGCATAAATATCGAAGAGTTCACATAAGTCTTGGACCTTTTTAATTTGGACGACTAGAACACTTAAAAATCGGTACTTTTCCGTTATCAGGACCCATTTTTTCAAAGAAAGATATTGCTTCTATCCTTGTATGATCGGCTCCCAGATTCGTGTGGAGGTGTATTGCAGACTTTGCCTGATAACACATGTAAACTTGCTAAACCTCCACGTCATAGCATTGCTTTTCGTAATCTCTCGCTAGCAAAAACCACTACGCAGTGAGTTGGCGAAACTCCACCTCCACACGAATCTAGGAGCCGATGATACTATATTCTGTCTCAGCTTCACAAGGAGGAGTGTCAGCTCCGCCACGTGGCAAAAAAATCTGACAAGTCATCTACATGTTCAACAAGTTTTACCAAGAGTTTGTGCTACCCTACCTAGCCGATAAAAATTCATTTCGTTTTTTAATTATTTTTGAGATCATTTTGAAAACAGCTTCGAAATAAACATTGTCATAACGATAATGACATACTATCATCGATGAGCAGATTAAACTTGTTCAGAAGTGCGCTAACTTTCCATCATTGAAGAGGTGAAATAAGCAGCAGCAAGGTACTTCAAACTATCATTTATAGTCTTTTCGGCTAAATTCGCATGGCGATAAGGGTTTAAAGAGAAGCGCATTTTTGATCCAGTGCTTAAAGCAAGCAAGATGTTCTAAAGTATGTTCATGATTGTTTTGCGCTTGTGTAAAATGATTAAACAGCTTTGAAATAATCACAGATTCTCTTTTATGCCACCGTAAATGATTTCGAGAAAAAAAATGTCAAAATGGGCCGAAACGTGTCATTTTTTTGGTTACACGTGGCAAAAAGGCAGTCCTCGTAGATTTTATGAAAAATTATTCTGAGACTGAAGAACGTATAATATGAGAGCCTTTTGAAATAATGGGTCCGAATAAAGGAAAAGTAAGTACCCAAAAATCTTATAATTATAACCGAATGTCTGTTTGTCTGTCTGTCTGTATGTCTGTTTGTGTGTACGTATGTTCTGAATAAAAAATTTCATTTCTGAACCGATCCGGACCAAACTTTGCACACATACACTTCGGGGCCGGGCGGGTGTCATAAGCCACTTTTCGTTATCGATCGATATTGATTTTATCGATTTTTTGCAAAGTTCGACCTAGGAGCTGGGAGTTGAGTCGGCACAGGAGGGGGGGGGGTAAAGCACGATGATTACGAGTACAATATTAGTTTTTGAAATTATCCATTAGTTTTATCGATCATCGATTTTTTTTTCAAAGTTTGAGCTACGGGGCTGGGAGTTGGCATAGGTGGGTAATCGAGCATGCTGATTATAAAAAAACTAGCTGACTTACCCGGCTCCGCCCGGCCCTGTCATTATTATATTCGTAATCACCATGCTCGATTACCCCCCCCCCCCCCCTCCCCTGTGCCAACTCCCAGCCCCGCAGCTCAAATTTTGCAAAAAATCGATAAAATCGATATCGATCGATGACGAAAAGTAGCTTATGACACCCGCCGGGGCCCGAAGTGTATGTGTGCCAAGTTTGGTCCGGATAGGTTCAGAAATGGAATTTTCTATTCGGAACATACGTACAGACATATAGACAGACAGACAGACAGACAGACAGACAGACATACAGACAGACAGACATACAAACAGACATTCAGCTTTATATATAAGATAATAGTTCTTGAAATTACCCGCTACTTTTTTCGATTTCATCGTTTTTTTGTAAATTTTGTGCTAGGGCTGGGAATTCGCACAGGGATAAGTGGCATGCTGATAACTAATAGCGGAAATAGGGAGTCGGAGTTGGTATGTAGAAGTGGGCACAAGAAAAGGTCGTACAGGGATAGGTATGACAGCTTTATCCTAGTGTTTTGGCAGGACGGGGCGAACCCGGGTAAGCCATAGTCTATCATTTGGCGAAGAGAGCGAATCAAACCATTGCCTCTCCTCTTTTTTTGAGCCAAAAGTGCAAGCCTAGGCACTGAGGGATACCGCGCTCCAATCACATGAGGTGTTCTTTGAACTATGCGACGAAAAAGCATCGCCATGGCGGACACAGAGTGTTGAGGCCACAGACTTGCTTAACCAAAAGGTCAGGTCTACAACATTCTAAATACAAAATGGTACTTAGAATATTTTTTGCTTTTTTGTTGCATTAGATTCCTTAAAATGCGTTTTTTTCGCTTTTTTACTGTTACGTTGATTGAATAATGGTTTTCCTACTGGCTTTCACGTCAAAAGGGACTTCGTAAATTTTCGCGAAGTCACGGGGAATTTTGTTTGCAAAAATGCTCCAAACCAATACGTGCCGGGCTCTGCTTAAACTTGCTGGAGTTAACGTGTTAAAACAATCAAAAGGCAGCCACGTTAAGGGTTCAAAATGGGAACAGTTCTGGAGGATGCATGATACGTACAGAGATACATACATATAAACCAGTGGCGTACTGAAAGGGTGAGCCCCCCCCCCACCCCCGAGAATGGATCGCAAAATTTTTGGAAGTTGCATGAGTTAAAAATCTACAAGTGACTTGTTGTACCTGTAATTGATTGAAACTTTTATAATCTTTCAAAAATTCATTTTAGCCTCATAGAAAATTTTTTTCGGAAGCGTGGTGTGAGCCATGCCCTCTTTTCCTGGAATTTGGGGATTTAGGAAGCACACCAAAGATTTTTCGGTATCTTTTCGGTATCGTTAGCCTTTCTAGATTACCATACAACAATTACGGGGCCATTAAAACATGGTTGTATCTTTTCCTGTAATATAAACCCGAACAGAAAAAGCCCAACGGCTAGGTTGGTCCGCCCACATGTACGGCTTCAATGTTTGTTTTGAATAGACACCGGTCGCAGAACGTGGCCTTATCGTTCAGAGAAGCGACGTGCAGTCATGAGGCCAAGAAGTCGCAGAGGTCCTAGCGCGAACGAGAGACCACCACTGCAGGGTACGCTCTGCTGCTGCAATAGTGTTGAAATACGCAAGCGCGTGTCAAGCGTGTTGAAATATGCGAGACGATGGTCGTTGCGAAAGTTAGGTATAGAAGCATACCATTTATTGATCCACACAAGTCCCATCTTAGTATCGTTATGCTTTCGTTCGTTTTTCAAGCTGTTCCCATTCATGTCAGCTGAGCTATTTTTAGAACTATTTTCCACTTTCCGGTCAAATTTTGAGAAACTCTCCGAGAATGTCGCTTCTCGTTTCTCCCCAATACGTGAGCGTGAGAATGACATGTGAAATGAAACTGTACAGCGATCCTTAGGGCAAAGGACTATTTCGGAAAGGTATGATCCACTTACCGCCTGAATCCTGAGAAAATCTCCGAAAATCTTGCTTTTGGGAGCAATTGCTCTGCTTGAATTTGATTTTCCTCTCCAAAATGTGAGCACGAGGTAAAGTGACATTGCAAAAGGAAATGAAATTGCACAGCGATGCTTAGGAGAAAACGCTATTTTAGAACGATATAATCCACTTTCCGTCCAAATTTTGAACAAATCTTCGAAAATCTCACTTTTGAGCAGTTGCGGCAATACATATGCAGATAAATTGAAGATTCATCCGGGGAAAATAATTGGAAATGCATTCATCTATAAATTTCCCCATATCCTAATAATTGTGTTCGTTTTTTGATTTGTTGTTTGATAGGTTGCAAACTGACATTTTCAGAACCATTCTTGTAATGTACAGATTGCTCCCCGTTGTCAATATATTCTGTTTTGTGGTGCGGAAGAGAGAGAGAGAGGGACAACATATATCATCCCGACACAGTATCCTGAGGCTCGGTCTAAGTTTTTGAGTTTTTGTGGCCTTCTTTGATTTTGAAGATGCTCTTCCTCCTTGCTACTGAGTTTCAGGGAGGGTTTGCATCACCTACTAGTATGTCTACGTCTAAGGATGGGAGTCTAAGGATGGGAACGGAAAGGAGATTGAGTTTTGTAAGAATTTTTTACCATTGTTTTTATTTTCATTAATTGATTTTATCTATTCTCGCTCTCTATGCATTTGAGCCGACTACATTACAGCCATTATCAACCCGGAGTAGGGGAAACACTTCAAGTAGAGCAGCGCGTCCGCACCGCCACTGACTCAGCGAGACGGATTAGAGTGAAGAGGCGCAGGCCGCAAAACGGCGCGGATGTTTGCGAAGTGGTTTCCCGCCACTCCAATTTCCGCCTAAACTGAGTTGAATCTTACTATACACACTCGCTCAACCGAAGTGTGTGGTCCTAGGCGGATTTTCGGAGACACGTCGCGCGTGATTCAGTGGGGTTACGAAACAATTCACTGTGCGACTTTATTAGTCTCTGTCTTCTTGTCGTCTCTTCAACATGCCCTTCTTCATTATTCTTCCAGTTCTGTCCTTCACCTCCATATTGGAATTTTACTATGATAAAGTCTTCCTATATTGTATATCTTGAATGGAAGACCAGACGTACACCTCTGCAGAGCTGGAGTAGTCTGGCAGCTTTTGAGGCGCAGAAAATTCCTTCCGTCGCTAGTGCTTGCATGACCTTTCTCAAAATTCTTCTTTTCAGTAATCAGGGCAGTTAATGAAGAGTATTTGCAATTTTTGGAGTTTGATCTATGGAGTTTTGCTGCGTTTTCCACTATGGGTCTTGTCGTCCTCACAGCACTCCTGATGTGGATGGATGCCGCCGCAGGCGTCGCATTTAGAAGACCAACCATGCCCGCGTCCTTCCTGCAGCCAAGTCTGGTAACGACGCTGATCATCATCTTCAATCGTTTCCTCTGGGCTGTTTCATACTGTCGCACTGACTGTAGCAGTCTGCACTGACCGCAGCTGACTGCAGCAGACTGCAGCAAACTGCAGCAGACTGCAGCAAACTGCAGCAGACTGCAGCAGATTGCAGCTGACAGCACTGATCGAATGGCCGCACCGGTCGCTGCATTCTTTCGTAAAAGAGAAAGCAACTGTGATTACGTCAAAACACCGTGACTTACGCCTAGAAGATTATAAGTCCTAATCCACTCTTCTCAATCGAACTTTGGCGATTGTTTTTCTTTACTATGTTCGTATTTGTTCTAATTCCTCCTATTATTGCATATGACTGTTTTGCAATGCTCTCGCTGGAAGCCATTATCCGTCGGAATCCGGCGCTGATCTTAGCTATAGTACATAGCCAACGCGACCAAAAAGGGCAATCAGAATGCCTCGTATCTTTCCTTTGACTATTAATTCGTTTAACACCTTGCCACTAATAGTGTTGAGTATTTAGTTGTGACTCATTGCTAAAATTTATTCATCTTCGGTACTTCTTCTAGATAAGGTCTGCATGCTTGTTTAATATATTTATGTTTCTCTTGAATTAATATGGAATGTATCAAGATGAAATTTACTAACTGGTTGCCAAAGATGTAAAGTGAAAAGGGGTTTTCTTCAATGTAAATAACGGAGAATTTTCTACTTTGCTTGCTCAACTTGTTATATGTTCATGTATGGAGGTAATGCCACTTTACCTTCGAAGTCATTCTCATACCTCACAGTTATGCTATATGATACTTCTACGTCAACTTGACTTAGTGACCCTAATGTAAGGCATGCATACGATCAACGAAACTCCATCACTTCTCATGCAAATAATCTAGACAGTAAAGCCCACATGTTGATTGGACAACTTTATGACGTGATAACCAAGAGGAAAAGAAAGATAAGAGGCATCCTGGTCGCCTTTTTTTTATCGCGTTGACTGTGTACTGTAGCTAAGGTCAGCGCCGGATTCCGACGAATGTCGTTGTTGTTTGTTTGAGCTACAACTTATCCTCTCCACTTAGGCTTCAATATGGATCGCAAGATCGATCGCGAAACGCTCGCCGCACTAGTGGAGTCGGAGCCGTGCTTATGGTATCCTGGTCACGATCACTTCCACAGGAAGGACAAAAAGATGAAGCCTGGGAGAGGATTGTCGAAAAGGCGAGACAAAGGAATTATTTGCGATGGTGAGTAAGTTCCGTTTTGAATATATACTCAGACAACTGTTAAAAGTGTCAGTGGAGGAGTATGCGAGACGGATATAAAAGAGCGAGGAATCCGCGAAGCAGTTCTGCCGGAAGATCCACTGGATTCAATCAGTGTCTGAGTCTGGACCAGGCGGATGTGGGAGGGTATGTGAAAAATTTTACATCGTAATTCCAGAGCAATATTTTTTTCAGAGTGCGTTCGTCAAACATTGACGAAACAGGAGAAGATTCGGATTATTATCAAGACGAGAACGGTATGGTATCGTGATTCCATTCTCACAGTTTCGGACTTTATTAGTTTCAGAACCGCGGCCACCAACCTAGGAAGGGATGAGAATGATTTTCCTGAAAGCAGCAGCGTTGGGAAAACCTATGAGCCGAAAGCATTTACTCTTGGTAAGCGAACTTCACAAGAATGGGAGACCCCAGCTTAAAAAAGAGATGTTCGTCCGATAGCAGGTCCAAAAAAGAAGGGAACGATAAGGCGAATTGTGAGTGCATCTCGTTTCTTCTAATGTAATTCACTCTTCTTTGCAGAACGTAAGTCAGTCCTTGAAGCTGTGGAGATGGTGAAGGCAAATGGAACGCGCTTAAACCCTCACAACGACGAATACAGCCATTTTGATTGGTACTTGGTTAATTTTCCAGGCAGCAAAATTCGTGGGACACGTCTTACGAGATTTCGGAAAGGAGGTCGTCAGATCGAAATATCAGAACATTATTGAGGCTGTTATTGGCAGCAACACAGTCAATAAGCAAGATCAGCCACCACATCCTCGACAATGACCTCCTTACAATGACGAGATCGAAGTTTTGGAGGAAGACAGGCAATCAGGGCAATCAGATTAATGTCAGTCTTGCAGATTCTACCACTACCTCTCTTTTGCATGTTGTTTGTTCTTGCTTGGCAGTACGTATGTCACCGCCCATCACTGAAGTTTCAAAACTTGCTTACCAATCCCTTTTGCTCAGCTATTTCGATTCTCATATAAAGTGTCTTTCGACTTTTCTGTTTCCAGTGTGCCTTTAGATCCCTTTTCCACACTCGGAAGCATTTGTTTATGGATAATCGATGATGGAAGTTGTTTATGTACGATTTTAAGATAATAATAAGTTGTTCACGGATGATATGTGCACATTAGGCAATAAGAAAACGAAGCACTCAAGATCTCGCAGGCCCATTCTTATTGGTATAATATTGCGTGAGCCGCTCCCTCGCTGTATAAGCCGATTCCGTGCCAGACTCTGGTTCTTCTCTTTCAAGGAGATAATAGGCGGCGTTCGGTGCTGGCTCAAACCTCTGGACAGCCTCCAGAGAGTCTTGCCTTCACGGGAGTAAGTTGTGAAGAATCTGAGACAACTGGTAGTTCCCCTGGTTTTTTTCATAAAGTCGGAAATCACCATAAGAGATATTACAAGTCGCTGAGTTTGAAGAGGATCCAAGTTCATGCAGTGCATCAAGACTTGGAACCTCTGAGCTGACAAGCCAAATGTTTGTTCTATTATTTGACGTGCACTAAAGCAATTATTAGGGCATTCCATATTGATCATGCAACAAAATCAGATTCACCCGTCAGTTGTTTGTTGAAGCGCTTTTATCCGGTGTATTGCCTCCGCTTCTCTATAAGGTCTGATGAACCTATGACCCTGGCCAAAACCACCGTTCACGAAAATGTGATATTGGACGGTTTTCACGTTTCCAAGCTCCGTTGTAAACGGGAGTACATCGTCGTGTCTGTCCAAGAATCTCTGAAGCTTTCCTATGTAGTGCACCAAATTCGAGCCAAGCACAAACCTTCAAAGCGGAGTCGCGAAAGACTCCAGTGTCACTAGCGCGGCCTGGAGCTCCGACATCATAGGTGATGATGCGGTGGTCACAGTCGCACAAAGCCAAAAGGATGGTAGAATAGTAGTGTTGGTAATTATAAAAGATACTACCCGAGCGCGCAGGATTCTGAATGAAACGTCTCCAAAATTGATGAAAATTGTGTATGCGGAAAAACCTTGATGTGGATATGTTTCCCATCTATGAAGCCTACAGCTCTCGGGTAGTCAAATCTTTCCTGCGTTATTCGGGCAACTTGCATGAATTTGCCACGCTTGATACGAGGAAAGGCTTCACTATGCATCTCTAAATTAGTGCGTTTCTCGTAGTTTTCAATGCAAATTCATTACCAAATATGATTGCTTCTGTCACCTCCCTAACAATAGCTGCTATTGTCAAGATACCAATTCCTATGTCTAAGGCGTAGGCTTTAAATGCAATTCCTTGCGACACTTTTTGAAAATATAGCCGAGAAGCGTAAAGTTGGCGATTTGCAAATGAATGTTAACCATCACCTTAGGTATATCATTAGTCTATGGCGACCGCTAATGGGACCCGCGTGCGTAGTGAAATGCTCTAATCGACTGCCAATTCTCTGATACAGATCCTCGAACTTGTTGGGCAGCAGTTTGTTAAAATTAGAAATGCCTCGGGTCTTCGAGTAACCAAGTATTCATCAAATAGTCGAAGCCGCGATCGAATGAAACGCACATGCTCTTGACGCACGTACTGCCGCCTCCGAAGTCGTGGGGACGGTGAAAAGGGATCTCTCTATAATGATGCGCACGCGTATGTCGCCTTCCCCCCCCTCGCCGCATATGTGTGAAGCCAGGAAGTCGTAAACAAGATGACTCATCACCCTACCCCCCCCCCCCCCCACCTCCCCACCCAGCCCAGCCACCGCGCGTTGATGACGTCATCATGTACTGAAATCAACAACTACGGTTTTCGTAAATGGTGACGGCTAACTCTCCAGTTGATCATGGAGCAAGCACACTCGTCCTACCTCTTGGACACTAATGCGATGAATCACATCAAGGTTTCAAGGTCAGTCATTCACTAAGATTATGTGAATTATCCATCTCTCTTTCTATCAATGCGGTATCCGTTTGCATACGGAGCCAACTATTATGTATCACCATCATAGCATTTCTTTCGCAAATCCAAGCTTCATTCCTGGAAGTTGGTATATGAGCGTTATGTTGTATTCGAAACATAGATCATCAAAAATCATCTTCGCTCTACCACAGCCGGATTTCTGCTTTCTGCAATTTCCGTACTGTCAAAATGGCAAGGAAGTGATTTCATACGCTTTTTATCAAATTGGACAATTTTTCTTAGATTATGACTGAGGACCAGATGTAGGGAGTACAAGCGGATTTGTTAACGAGTGAAAAACTCATTAAAAATCATTCTCGCTCTTATCATGTTGCTTTTCAGTATCCTGCAATCATCGGGGTGCTTGATTATTTTCACCAGTTCCGTGAATTTCGACATTTTGAGCTGAGCAACTGCGAACCTAGGGTCAGTAAATGGAAAGTTTGTTAGCGATAGTAAATCTCTTCACAAATCATTTAGTTGAATTTCTAATTTATCTCTTTGTATATTCGCGTGCGACATTGCACAAGATGGGATTTTTCTTTGATTCCCTCCTATTTCTTAAACGGAGGAGATGTATCTTTTTTAGCGAAACAAACATGAGATAGAATAAAGAACCCTTCATAATTGTCATTGCTCATGTTTTGTTATTCGGCTTTCTGCAGTCGAAATGTTTTGACATAAAAGAACAAATTTTATTTCATTTTCACCAATTTAATGGAGTTTCTGGAAGTTGATGAGGAGCTGGGTTTTGCACACAGGGAGATGCAAGGAAGTTTGCTAACGTTTGGAATCTTCAAAAATCGTCCTCACTCTTATTTTTTGATTTATCTTCTTGCATTCAATGGGACGCTAAAAATCACACATGTTGTGTTTTGTTTCTCACTATTGGTCCATCTTTCGGATGACTTGAGCTGAAAAAATGGATTTTTCTCAGGAGATGATTGGGGATATGATAACGAATAAAGATTTCTTCGCAGTCATGGTCACCCTTAGGCTTCGCTTCTGCTTTCTGCAATTTTCGGGATATTTGAAAACATATAGAGGTGATTTTCGGGATTTTTGAAATCTTATAGAGACCATTTTTTCACCAATCTGATAAGTTAGAGGTTTGAGCTAACGAGGAAACGATACTCAATGTCCGTGGCTTTTTGAGATGAGATGTACACCATTACACTCGTTTTCGAACGCTGATTCCGAATCTGACTTCCGTTTCTGCTAATCGTTTCTCTGAAAGAAGTTATGAAGAAATTTCGATCCAAGTTTGGCCGCTTAAGGGAAATATGGTCAAAACGGCCTCTACCGCGACCACGTTCTGGTCTAATGCTTAGTGCGATAGCCTCATAAGTTGATGTAGGTTCAAATCCTTTGCGTTTTTACTTTTGCATTACTTTTGCCCCAATTAAGCTTGTTCGAGAAAGCTTTACTCGAATTATGACCAATGAATACATTTTAGCGCAAACAGTAGTCATTTTTTCCAAAATTCCACATTTTTTCGAGAGTAAGAGCGTTCACTTAACTTGAGGATGTGAAAGAAGGTTAATTGAGGCAACGCAAACTAAAAAACACAAAAGGACTCGAACCTGGATCCGCATCAACTCATGAGACTATCGCACTAACCACTAGACCACAGCGCACCTATGGCGTCGGAGCTCCGACAGGTTTTCACTGGAGAGCCAAACTCCGCGCGATCCATGATAACATCTTTGAAGCGATTAGCAGAAACGGAAGTAGGATTTGGAATCACCGTTCCAAGACGAGTGTAATGGTATACATCTCATTTCAAAAGGCCACGGACACCGAGTATCGTTCCCTGTAAGACGGTTTTGTACAAAGGGTAGGAAATGGAGGTTGCTAACGATTGAAAATCTTTTTAAAAATCATCCTCACACTCATTTTGTAGTTTGTCTAGGTAGCTGCGTTTCTTGGACTGCCAGAAATCGCATGATTTTATTTCTAAAATTTTCATCTGTTTGCTAGATATCTTAATGGAGCTTGATCTCTCTCAAGGTTAAATGGGAACTAAGTTGACGAAAAAAACCCCTCAAAGTTGATTTATCGCACTGTTGTTTCTTTTCTGCCTTCTGCAGTCGGGATGGAAACGAACAGAAAAAGATTTTCATCAATTTCGTAAACGTTTTGGTGGTCTAAGCTAGAAAGCTGGGTTTTGTGCAAGGGGCAGGAAATGGAGGTTGCTGACGATCGAGAACCTCTTCAAAAATCTTCCTCACTCTCATTTTAACTTATCACCTTGCATTTCTTGGACTGCTGAAAATTGCTTTTAATGCTGATTTTTTTTCCTCAAATTTTCATCTGACTGAACAATTTTCCAAAAATCTTGATCTGAGGAGCTGCATATTTCTCAATACACAAAAATGAGCAGGATCTTTCTCAGGAAATGGGAACTGAGTCAATGAATAAAAACCCTCCAAAGTTAATTCACTTCTACTGTTGTTCTTTTTCTGCTTTCTGCAATCGGGATGATTGAAATGACATAAAGGTACAAGGAAAATCACTTATGTTTGGAATTTCCTCAAGAAATCTTCCTTAATATTCTTTTTTCTGCATTCTAGGGTGCAAAAAATCGCACAAAGTCGTGGTTGTTTGTTTTTTATGTACTTGATCTGTATCTCGAAAATCGTAAACTACCGTGAACTATCATCTAACAAATAAATAACTACGTTTCTCCAGCAACCTCATGTGTATCGCAATCCAGTCTTTATTTAGAGACGAAGTAGATCATTTTCCCCACCTGCGGGTATTAGCCTTAAACGGACCAAAAGCAATAGCACCTCGCAAAGAATGGAGACAAATCATGGAGCCCAGCAGGTAAGTGTTCGAAAACTTAGAATTCTACAGGGTGCGCCAAAATTACCGGCGCCAACTTTACAAACACTGCCACCAAGGAACCTTTGAAAAATACAAGCACAAATTTGTGCCATAGAAGGCGCCAATCAATCTCTACAAAATACATTTTATCGAATTCAAAAAGACCTCTTTCTAAGAAATTAAAACTTGTAAGAATTATACTAGTGTTTCCAGGAAAGGCAAAAATGAAATTTTTTATATCTTCATAATTTGCTCTCTAATTGACTAAAGTCAAAGCCTTTCTGAACTCCTCTATATTGAGGTTGTAGAGCACAATTTGCACTATCACATAGGTATAGCGGCATTTGCGGAATTTGTTCCTTCACGAGATAAGAAAAAGTATTTGCGGAAAATACCTGCGTACGAGCAATGACCTTATGTCAAAATCTATTCTTAGGCCTCAGATATGCAAAACCTTTCAGGTAAAAACAGTTCCCTATTTGTGAGACATGTAGAAGAGCATCTACAAAAAGTTTTGAATCTGATTTAGAAAACATTCTTTGATCCTAAGGCGCATTCAGGGAGACCAAAATTACGCCAATTTTCGCTATGCCGCTTCTCAACTATGTTTTTGAATAGTCAAAAATTCTCTTCGGGATAATTTTCAAATTCCCATACTGGATTGAATTAGAGAGGAAGGTTTGCTCTATTTTTGTGCGTAATTACAAAGCAGGAGAAAATGTTGTTAGAAAGATGTTACGTAATTTCTCAAAGCCATGCTTGCATACAAAGCACACTTCGGTCGGCGAGAGGAATTGTGATGTTTTCAAGAGATAAAGCAGCCAAATTTTGATTTGACTATTGCATTACAATAACGATGATCGGTGAAAACAAAAACATACTTAATCCGTCCTCGAACCCGTCTAGTATCCTTCTGGCACCGAAGGAAACACGCGCCGGTAATTTTGGCGCACCCTGTATATTGGTCCTTACAGGATGTGTCTGACACTTGCTAAAAAGTTAATTGAATCAACTTCGCTCAGATATGCTACGTAGAGGATGTACGCCAAATCTGTTCTTTTCTCGCGTATATCTCCACTGTTATAGAACCAACAGCTTGGACAATTTTCTGCAACAAAATTTTCTCAAGAAGAACACCAAGCCTTCCAAAGCATGAGCAGGTAAATGGCTCGAAGCTGAGCTACTTTTCAAATTATTTGTTGATTTTTCTCACCTCTAGAAAATCTTTATAGCAGAACTTTTGCAAACAGTCTGTGCTTTCAAGGAAGATGTCGTTATTTTAGAAGATTCATTCTGAAGAAAAAAGCCATCATCTTCTGCTGCAGGAAGTTCAGGAATACAGCATGCAAATGCCACCGATGAGTGTACCGACGACAA